TTCCCGTGCAGCGCACTGGGGGAATTGGGGAGGGTATGTGTGTTTCTGCATAGCGCTACCCTGATTCAATCCATTTTTTAACTGTATCTTTGTATTGCCAGCTTCTGCTCTCCACCACAAAATATGGTACCATTCTGTTCTGTTTTGACAGAGTTGTTCTGCTGACAAATACATAGACAGAATCCCAAAGCCCTTTACATAATATCCTTCCTTCTGTTGGGTTGGAAAGAATAAAAACCGATTAAGCATTGTTTTAATTTAACATGCGTTATGAAAGGAGTTCCCTTGCCAACCAGCAAAACTCACATATTCACAATACACATCACTTCATCTCAGACAGAATCCACAAGTCTACAAGTTCAAGATGGAACCTTCAAATTACCTCACCTCCTCCTTTGCTAGAGATAAGAATTTTGTCATTTAAAAATATTGGAATATATTCATTGGAATATATACTTCTCTCAGAGAATTGGATTAAGACTGGGAAAAAAAGGTTCTATTCCCTTTCCCCAGAAGCCCCAGAATAAAGCTGGAATCCCCCCACCCCCCCACACACACAAAAAGGAAAGATGGGATTTTGTACTAGGTTGCTTTTTCCGTGTGACCCAAAGTCTATTTCTTCCCTGTCTCTATAGAATATTGAATTGTGTGTATTTTATTTCTGTAGAATCTTCTTGTGTGAATAATTTCAAAATCTCCCACCTATCTCCTTATGGAGACCTGAAATGGTAAAAAATTTACATTTCTAGCAGACCAGGACCATCTTGTAGTCTGCCTGAAGCATTGCATTATCTTCCATAATTTCCTTTTTAAACCAACCTGCTGATCATGACCTGTCAGCTCTGCCTTCAAGACTGAATATTTGCATGGTTCTTAGTTAAATGGAGTAAGTTTTAAAAACTTTTTTACCTTTTGATCTGTATCTTTATTTTTTCTTCTTAAAAAACTAAAATGTGTTGTTTATTCCTATGAGATTGGTCTATTTCCCGTGGGAGGGAAGGGCTGAATCTTCTAATTCCATGCTTTGATACAAAATATGGATTTTGCATTTTGATCTTTTAGGCAGTACTAACTGTGAGAGGCCTATTTCTCTCAGATGCCAAAGGTCCAGAGTAGGACACCAGAGAAGATCTGTGGAAAGATTAGATTAGCTGGGAAATTACTGAGACTTGAAATACTAAGAAAACAAATGGCAGCAGACTTTGTTTGAAATAAAGTTTCTTGAACCCAGACTGCCTCTACTTTAATACAGTGGCCTCGTGTACATAATTCCTATTATATTCATTTATTGTGGCAAATCATAAAGTGATTTCTTTGGTTCTTGCTTAGTATGTTGTGTGAACCCAGATTATCAGTTTATTTAGTCAATTATGGGTTAGTGTGATGCTGGAATCCAGGCTATGTTGTGATGACAAAGCACCGTAAGATTTTTTTTTATTATTTGTGATTTGTCCAAGTTTAAGCACTTTTTTGACGAAATATATGGTCATATCCTGGT